GGCTCTCGGCACACACAAACACCGGCCGGAGGCGCTCGTTGCCCCATCGCCACACCGACGATAAAGCGGCGCACGCCGGTCCAGTGTAATGACAGCCACCAGAGAGCAGTCATTGCCTCTCAGTCAGAGAGAACAGCGGACGGCTAACCGTCCATAAACCCCCCGGTGCACTCGAAAGTCCCGACGAAAAACTGTGCGCCGAGCGCTGAGCAAAAACGGACTGCGCGGCATATCCTGCTCTCTCCTCGTCCAGCGGCCGTCAGCGGTCTCTCAACACGGCTCCCCCGTCTGGCGGCTCTCCACACAGCTCCCGCGGCTCTCAACAAGGCTCCCCAGTCCGGGGCTCTCAGTAGGCTCTCTCGTCTAACAGTCGCTGTTCTACCTCAGCATGGCTCTCCTGCGCCCAGACACCATCCTGCTTGTCAGAATATTACGCTGCATGTTAGTTACGGTATCGCCGCAGCAGCGGCGATGTTCAGTTTCTATTAACTTCTGTTCAATTCAAATTATTTTCATTTCACTTTTTATGCGATTGACATCACGTGTATTTTAAATAGGCATGCATGCATTTTGAATGGCTACACATTATCAACAAGTGACTTGGGCGGTGTATAGCCATCCAGCCACAGACCCAAATGACAACCACATCCGTCCGTCGGTCTCCAGCCACATCTAGCGAGCCATCCCCCTGAAGTGTCCGGTATTCGGGACACTGGACCGGACGGGGAGCGTCCCGATCGGCCCAGGGAGTCCCGTGACCCCGGGTCAGGGCACCGGAGGTGGCGACATCACGCAGAACCCCGCATCGCCTGAGTCACACAGACAGTCACCCACCGGGCGGTAGGGTGAGTCATGCGGTCGGGTCAGGTGGGGTTTGTGTGCGTGCGCGCTGACTATCGAACAGCTGGGGAGGTGGGAGGAGGTTGGGCTGATGAGTCGATTGGAGCGCCGTGACCCGCGGCAGATCCGGTCAGGATGGTCTCTGTGTCACCAGGTGGGCAGTCCTTTACTGAAGCGGAGATGGCACACGGCACAGCATCGACGGGAGCACAAAGTAGAGGTGACGAGCAGCTGAGACGAGAACAGAGCAAGTGAGCCAGAACACCATAGGAAAAGACCAGAAGCCAGAAGAAGGATGACAGGGTTTCAGGGAAGGGACAGGAGTAGCTGATACAGAGAGGGAGAGGGGGTGAACAGAAATCGGAAGCAGGCAAGACCAGCAGTTCCGATAACACGAGGAGACAGGACAGGGGATTGGGGCCTGGGGCAGTAGCGACGGACGATGGGACAAAAGAACTCAAGAGGTATTGGCTGCATTTTCGGCTAATGTCCTGTGCCGGCAATGGGAAGGCTGGCGCCGCAGACAGCGGAATACCCAGCACGCAGGCAGTTTACGTAGTTCCCTTCAGATTTAGTACCGGAAGGGCGACAGGGTTAGGCCAGCTTAAAGGATTTGAGGAGTGCTCGAAAAGGCCGTGTCAAATGTAGCCAATCTTCCGGGAGATAAATGCGTGGTGTCACGGGTGATCGCCAATGAAAAGTTTACGAGTTCCTGGTTCAGCTCAAGAGGACGCAGCATTAACAGTCACGAAAACTCCAAGTGACCTTACGCAACCAGTGGGCCTCCGACCCAATCATCATCAAACTCCTCATACAAGTAAAATAGATCACCCGAGACCACGCAAAAGCGCCAAGGATGAGACCACTCGAGGTGAAATATCCACGTTAGACGGCCAACCCTTAACCTTGGCGCTATTTATATCCCATGGCACGCAGAATCTCTCGGGGTGAGTTGGTCGTCTCCGGGGCGTCCCGGGCTGCCCCGGCCCTGACCCCGTCAGCGCAGAGTCCGGCACCGACGGAAGGGGCTCGGCTCGCAGAACGCGGCCACACAGAGGAGGACGGGACGCTCCCCTACCGCCCTCCCCTCCTACCCAGGACACATCCAGCCCTCCCCATCCTCCCCAGGTCACACAGCCTCTCAGCCCGTACAGGCCACAGGAGCTCCGCGGGAGGTTAGTCCTTAAAACCCACCATGGCCGTCCAAACGAGGGGCTTCACGACGGGATGAGCCATCCAACCATCCCGAATCGAGTTCTCGAACGACAGACGCCGCTATCCTCAGCGAACAACTCGGTAGGTCAACAGGTACCAACTGGCACCGAGGACACCAGCACCGATAGCGTCCCGATCACAAAAACGCCACAGAAGAAACGTGCCAAGGGATGACCGATATCGTGAAAAGGAGATCTGGCGCTTCTTATGGGTGGCATGATCTAATGCACAAGGACATTGCTGTGCTGATGCCGCCCACGTAAATCTGACGGCGGGCTATAGGGGCTGACTGCCGAGGACCGTACATCTGTCAGACTGTCGCCGTGACACTGACAACTGTAACTCTGCAGTGAGACTCGCAGTGGAGCTTTTGCCAGATACTCACTCAATTCAAAAGGGCGATACCTCGACACGCATAACGGGATGGCAGGCTGCGACCGGAGGCACATCCATCACCAGAGCCGACCCGCTGAACAGCTTCAGATCCTACAGATCCCACAGACCAACGGTCCTAACGAGAGCGTGAAACGACTGACGCCTGCATAACTCACAGGCGTCCGCTGTCAGCGTGCGCCGATAATCTCTACCAAACGCGACCTTGTCAGGCGAGATGACAGGAACATATGCACTGTGCTGCGGCGCCGACATTTCGGGGAAGCGGACCGGTCAGGATCAGGTCGTTATAGCCAGATATTTGCGTGAGGAGACTCATTGATAAAATATCGCTTTGTTAATGGAGATTGGAGAGGGATTGGTGAGAAGACATATGTACATGAAAACGCATTTCCAGGAGTACTGAATGAAGGCTAAGAATATGCTATACATCAATACAGTTTCACTGCAAAAAAAGGTTTCTACCCTGAAAGAATATCATGTCATGTTTTAACGCAATGTATTGTTTCACAAGATCTTCATTGTAAATCATTTTCTAATAGTTCACCTATGCATTCCCTGATGTCCAGTTTTCGGTGGCTAAATACGTCGCCTTCCATCACGCATTATCTTCGACAGATATCCGGCATAATAGTCGCAACCGCAATCCAATCAGCTCCATTAAAAATGCAACAGGTTCGTGTCGCCTCACTTGGGGATTTAGTATTTCTTAATTAGGTACCGCAATTTGAACCAGACGGTCAGGCACCCAATCACGCTGAACAAAAATAGCATACCTACAGCTATTGATAATACCTACCTCCTGCAAATTAAACAAGGCATGCCAATACCCTCACCTAAACTGAAAGCAATGAACACTTTTAAAGTACCTAATTTAAGTGCGACTAAAAACAAGGTAACAGTGACGAATTAAAGTTCCAAACCCATTCTGCCTGTCTGAGAGAGTCGCCATCTCTGACCAATCAAACCACCGCCCGGCCGATGCCGAAAAACGCCCCGGAGGCGGAGCGGGTCCCGGCCGAGTGGTGCGCACTTTTCCGGCGAGTTTCACCGGGTCGGCCGGGGGCGCCGGGGGTAGAAACCCGACAGGTCACGACCGCCGGCCGGCCGGCAATACAGTTCGTGTCGGCGCGGCGCCGCGGCCGGCCCCTAATAGCTGCCACAGGCGTGCCCGCCCTCCTGTGTCGGCCTTCGCCCGTCCGTCACATGAGCCCGCCGCTGCCGGCACCACACGCGCCCGACGGGCGTGGCTGACAGGCCGGCCCCGGTCGGTGGGTAAGGGGATGCGGCGGGCCGACTGGAAGCCGTCGGACAGGAATGGAAGATAAGAGGGCGCTGGTTAGGGGCCATGCAGTGGCGATTTTCGGGCGAGTGGACGCGTGTGACTGCCGGATGACTCGGCAGCAGCGGTGGCGAAAGTCACCGACTGCTGAGAGGGCCGCGGGGCCGGTCACCTATAATGGTTCGATCAGTTCGCAATTAGTTCCAATATTGCCGAGTCTCGAATCTACAGCTTTCCTTCATGAGCCAATGTCCCAATAAGCGAACCAACTTCCGCGAGGAGATAGTTCTTGCTGCATGACACTAAGTTGTTGCAAGTTGGTATGAACAATTTTGTTGAAATATTTAACACTTTTTTGTAGGAATATGTTTTGCAACATTCACTCGGGCGTGGTCACTGATTGCCTTGTTGTGCAATATATCAGACCAAAAAGAAATCGGTGTAACGAACCAATCACCTTTCGTAAATGTGCTTTTTATTAAGATAGCTATATCTACCCGTAATAGTTATGTACTCAAACAGATCGGTAAGAATGCATTTTGTAAGTGCCCAATGTATTTAGATCCTACCAATCGTCCCCTATTATAATCATAAAACATACGTTGGATTCAACGCCTATAAGCCACTTGCATATCCACACCGACAAACAGAAAAACTGTTATACCCCATTCCTACCTTATCACTTTATCAAATAGGGTACGCAAATGAAGAACGATTGAGAACTTATAAAACCGGTTTATGATTAAGAACAAATGCAATTGAGCAAACGTCAACTAACATGAAAATTATGAGGCTTGTGTTTACTTTTGAGTTCGTCGTATAAATCCAGTGCCAACAAGATTAACTGGATGGTTCGCGGAATACCGCGCAGTGAACTGATCGGCAGGGATTAGCTGCAAACGAAACTCTCACTAAAACGATATATATGTACGCAGTGGCATGATCTTTATCGCAGATTACCCCACCCCAGGTCACTGGATCGGGTGCGCGGCTGTAACCCTCAGGTCATACCTACATCACCCTCCCAGGTCACTCAAACCGTGCCGGGTGGCTGCTCCCGCACCTGAACCTCCCATGCCACTCAGGTCGAGCCGGGTGCTCCCACCCCTGACCCTCCCAGGTCACTCGGAATCGGACCGGGTACGCGGCTGCTCGCGGCGCTCGGCAGCCGCCGTCGCGCCGTCGGTCCCCGACCGTCCGATCGCGCCAGAACCAGTGAAAGTCGCCGCCGCCGCCGCCGCCAGCCGTCGGCGGCGGCGGGCGGGTGCTACGCGCACGCGCCGCGACCCGCGCCGCGCCGGCGAGGTCAGGCGGCCGGCCGGCCCGGCAGTCAGTTGTAGCGCGCGCGTGACGGCGTCACCAGGCCCCGACGACAGCTCCGGCAGTCCACTCACCTGGACCGTCCCGTCAGCCTCAGACTCCGGACTCCGACCTCAGCCGACACCAGTCTGCCCTCAACTGCCCGCTCCGCCCCGCGCAGAGAGGCGCCTCAGGACCAGACCCCGCGGCGCGCGCGCCAGTCACCCCTAGTGTCGGACCTCAGTGCCGCGCGCGGTCCGCCGCGTTCTACCGATCCGCGCCGCGCTGGTATGAGCTAGTGTGCCACCATGCTGGCACGCCTGCTGGTGTTGAGTGTGTGCGTCTGGGGCCTGAGCGGCCCGGCGGCCGGGCAGCAGACATGGACCCGCCGCGACCGCAGCGCGAAGCCGCCGGCGCAGTTCACCGGAGACAGGTGAGTTGGGCGGCCTGTCGGCCACAGCGGGCGCCGCACAGGGGTGTGAGCAAATCTGCCCGGTAGTAAGACAGTGTAAATGGTAACTTGATCAGGTATGTAGAGCGTCGTAAAACATTATTCGACATCTCATGAGATTTTGTGTCCAGCATCTCCACCACCTTCTAACATATGTTAGACCGGCGTATCGCACACCACACACCGGCTCGACTTCGGACAGCCGTTCTGTCACCACCGCACAAACAGCCCGCGCGATCATGACTGAGCTGTCACCATCTGTCACCACGGCAGATGACAGACGATAGACCTGTCACCGGACAGTCTGGCGGGACGCCGGAGCAGGCACCAACAGGCGCGCGCCTGGCGCCGGGGACAGACACACGCAGGGGTAAAAACGGCCCTGTGTGAGCGCGAGCGCCGGTCAGCAGAGATGAGCGTCTGTTTGGCGGGGGTTAGCCGAGGCTGCCCCACACATCATTCACGGGATGGCAGGATCAGATAAATCAGACGCTGGCATAGCTCAGCAGCACAATCTCGTGTTTTGATAAACTGCACCCTTATTCTCCGAGTCGATAAATAAGGGCGGTCGCGAAAAAAAGAGAATGTGAAAGGAGCGAACCAGCAACAATGTTTAATAAATCAGCAGTAAACATGCAAAAAAAAAACTTTTTAACAGCTCCTGACTTGCCGCCGTAATGCCAACCGTTTTGGGCAACTCAGCGAGCCGTAATGCAAGTTTATATCCAAAACTATCACCCACTGCCTTGGGTTCTCCAACGGCTGAAGCGACCCCTGCAGGGGTCGAGGTGTCCATGGGAGAAGTCTCAGCCCTTTCGGCGGGATTCCGCTGTCGGTATCAGCAGCAGCACACTGTCCCTATAAGCCGCGGCGAGAGGTGACCCTCTGAGCCGCTCAGCCGGCGAGATGTACTCCCATACACATAACCCACTTCGCAGATCCTCTTACCGGGTCCCGCCGGACGAACGACGCCCATGACACACCGCCGGGTTTACTGCCATTGTGCTCACTAAGTCGATAGTTCCAAAGTCACGCCATGAGAAAATCGCATCCTTCGACGAAGGCTAACCATATAATGGACTCCCATTGCATTGTTATGAATTCAAAGTCAAAGTATTGCTACCATGGTAGAATGACGGCAAATGTGTTCTCTTGGATACTTACTTAATTTGTTTATCTAAATCGTAATCGAAATTCACTGAATTTTCATCGATGAAACAATACAAACCAGCTCATGAATGGCATGAGCGGAATGGAATCGTGGCAATTATAAATGGAATAACAACTTGAAGAATTCAGTGATCGTTAATGCATTGTCATCCAACGATGCATTTCACTGCGTTTTACCTCGATATCACATCGAGCAAACCATCCCAAGACGTCGACAAGATAATGTGCACGTAAAGATAAGATTCCTGATCGTTTATGCAACACCGCGCACGAAAGGACAATTACTCCGCCTGGCACGCATTCACTCACAAAGATGCACGGGAACCTCACGCAAGCACGCAAAAGACGCGAGCAAAAACATACGAACGAAAACTTTGGGTCGCGCACGCCACCACTAATACGTCTGAGTGCCGTTCCCAGACCGGAGGTCGATTCGTGTTTCTCCCCAGTCTCTCTCTCCCCAAAGGAGACATTCATATCATAAAGCTGTCCCGTCTGTCCATCTGATTTCCATGATATCTCAAACCTTGTTCATGAAACCTCCGCCTAAGAAGTGACGTCAAACTATGCGGTGAGCTAAATGTAGATCAGCCAAGCCGGTCGCCACGAATTATATCACCTGTCAGAGAGATGATGTCTGCTTGAATGAGCGTCATTAAAGTTCGGTCCATGGACTCAATTCAAAATCAAGTGCCGACCTAAAAACGAAAAAAACGCATCGAATCAGTTCTTTGTGGGAAACGAGTTCTCACTTCCGTCCAGAGAATTAAGGCAATAGAATTAGTAATTCGTTAATGAAAGTGGCAGCGTATAAAAATACGCGACACGTTATATAACGCTAAAAACCGGCCAATGACGCCAAGGACAAAATATGGCTCACAAAAAGCGACATATTCCATTTTGCAACTGCACGACTGTAGCCCGCTGCTTTCGACATCGTTCGCCCGTACGAAAACACGGGGAGTAATACCAGTCTCCATGATATTAGCTGTATTATCACCTGACAAATCTTAAACCTGACGTTATCCGATTGTTCGGAACTAGTTCACTCGTGTTTGCATCACCATGTAGCATTTAAGAAGAAAAAAGAACACCAGCCGATTTACACCATAGCGATACAAGCAGCAACCCGCATATCAAACTAGAAACAGAATAATTCACACTTTCAAATTCATGCCATGACTTATTTCCTGACCACAGAGAAAGTGTGATATTGCAATATTCTTGATTTAGCTCAAATGACAAGTGACAAGGCACTTTACATGCTAGTCATGAAGTCACGATTTCAACCTTTATATTTAGAGGCGCCAATGTAATAAATGCTATAAAAGCATGAAGTTACCTATCCCATTATAGGATGAGCCCTACACGGAACGGATATGTATTCCACTGACTATAGACGAGAAAGTATTTTCACCGATTCGCGCGGCCCGGTCGTTCTGTTGTATAAAGCACTTACCACCATTACAGACGGCATTATGTCAGGATTATATGTGACGAACACCCATTAAATCATACACCGGACCGGCCGGTCACCACGCCGCTCCATGTCACATAAATCTCTGACTCGCCTAAACCACTCCCGTAAAGGCAGCTCACGGCGGCATAGTCACACACCGCCGCCGAATACATCTCCCTCGGAGGGCAGCGCCGGTGGAAATTGGCTCGACACAGACTAGTGTCGTGCACTTAAAAATAAGACAATCCACATGAAGTCAGCGGGAGATGGTAAATACCTGTCGCGACACGGTATTTGGAAAACCCGCATGTATTCGCGTCTAAGCCCGCTCCCAGAGAAGTCACCTTATCCCAATTTCCGTGTGGATATCTCGCTCTCAACGGCTCTGAAGTAGCCAGCCTCACCATAACTACCGTCACCGGATCGCCCAGCGCCTGCAGGGCGTGCTCCGCGCAGTCTGCTCCTTTCCAGGCCACCCGCCGCTGCGGGCCGGGTGCGCGAGACGTAACTCATCTCGGCGGAACGAATGGCCGGTCGGTCCGTATGCACACAATCGGACACGTCCCCGTCAGGCGCGCGCCCACACGCCCTAATGGGTTTTCAGAGTGAGCCCTGTGATGAAAGGACGCCCGCGGAGCTGTCGAGCGCCGCTCCGAGGTGCTCCGCTCTCCGCTCTCCGCGCGGCCGGTGGGACGGGTGACCGCCGCGCCGGCCGGTGATCGGTGATCGGTGGTCGGTGACGGAGACCGGTGACGTTCGGTGACCGCCGCCCGGTGACCGGTGATCGGTGACCGGTGACGGCAGTTAGTCACCAGGCGCCGCGGCCCTCAGGAGTGGCGTGCACAGACAGCGGGGCACCCAGGCCCATCTACGCAGAGGCCGAACGTCTGGCCGTGTCCACCGCTGGCGCTCATTGGGGCGTGCACTGTCCCCACCCGCTGCCGGGGGTGGTGCGGCCACAACATTACCTCACCGCCACCACCGCCGCTGGACGGCACTGCCAGGCGTTCCTCGATCGACGTCTGCCCGGTCCCAGAAACTCACCCAGTTCATGAAACGTCGTGTCGCCTCACACGGCCGCCGCCGCCGGAGGTAGCGCCGCCGACAGAAGGCGAAAGTCGCGCGCCGGGAGGGGCCGGCGACGACCTTGACCGCGGCCGTCGACCAATCAGAGGCCAGCTGGTGCGGCGGCCGGCGGACCAGACGGGAGCGGCCGAGACAGCGGGACGGCGGACGGCCGAAGGCAGAGCGACAATAAACGGCTCGGGATTGAGAGCGAGGGGAATAGGGGATGCCTCTGATGGTCTGAGGGAGGTATTTAACAAATTATCAGACGATGAATGAATGCCGACAGAACTTAGCGGTAGTCCAATGTTCTCACGCATTCAACTCACCCGCGGCTTTCACAGCCGCCAACATCTCAGAACCCAGTTCTCATTTTCGGTACTCAGTATCCCGATCACATCCCGTGCAAACCCGCTCCTCACAATCACCCAGCGACATCTCGGCACACGGAAGGCCGCCGCGGCCTGGCGACAGCTGTATCCCGCCGCCGCCGATCTCGTGACCAGATACGGGCCGACGTCGATTGCAGCAGCGTCTGTCGGACGTCCCCGCGGCCACCGACCTCCCCCGTAAGGCCGCCGAAGAAAGCGTCCTCGTGATTGAAGCGGCTTGCAACGGTCGCTCGGCAGCCCGGGGGCGGTGGTCGGCTCCATGAAAAGAGCGGCGCGGCGGCTGTTTCGGGTCCTGTTCCGATTGGATCGCCCGCCGGGGCGCACTAACAAGCGTCTCAGCCTTCCGCACGGGTCATCGCCAGCCGATCTGGGGTCACGCCGGTCACGCCGCATGAAAGGAAAGTTCACGTGCACGCCGGCACGAGCCGGCCGCGCCTGAAAGGCAGTCGTTACGACGAGGAGTAACGCGCCCCCATCGGTCGTGGCGGCTGAATGGCGCCCTTTGAGCGGGCGGCCGACTGCCGGCGCCGCCGCTGACCCGTGGGTCTCCGCCAGAGGCGGCTGCTGCTCCCGGCGGCGGTCCGTCGGGCCCACACCCACCAGCCGGAGTCCCAGCTGGTGAGAGAGGAGGGCCGGTTTCACTGGACGGCTTCCGGCCACACTCGCCGGGCGGCGACACGCCCCTGGGCCGGCGGCGGTGCGAGCGACGATAGCCGTCCGACCGCTATACGCGCCGGCGAATAATGGTGGCAGGACCACTCAGTCAAATAATACTGACGGGAACACGCAGTAAAACGATAGTGGCCGGATCTGAAATTGCAGTCACAACGGATGGAAATCCTCCAGCTGATGGGGTCATTGTTCTTCCAGGTTTGCGTAAGGTCGTACCAGTTCTT